TTTGCATACGTATCTCTTTCTGTAAATTCTGTTTTATATAGTTTCAAATTATATATTAAATAAATATTACTATTCTCTTAGTTGAATGAACGTATAGCTCATTCAGTTAAGACATTTGGCCGCGTAGACCCAGGTTTACATCCCGCTGTTTCACATATATTTCTTCTCTTTTTACTCTTTCTGATATCATTTACCTTTAGAGAAATCTCTCGTTCTTTATAATAAAGTATTTAATTGTTTATCACACATCCTCTTTATACTTTTTAAAAAGAAAGGCATACTGTTTATCTATTCATTGAGAGTCCAACTTAACGGGATTTTACTGTATATATAAGTATATATATATATATATATATATATATATATATATATATATATATATATATATATATATATATATATATATACATATATATACAGTAAAATCCCGTTAATGTATATATATATATATATATATATATATATATATATATATATATATATATATATATATATATATATATGAATATATATATATATATATATATATATATATATATATATATATATATATACAGTAAAATCCCATTAATGTATATATATATATATATATATATATATATATATATATATATATATATATATATATATATTAGGTATATTTGTATAAACATTTGAAGAATCATTTGACAACATTTTTTTATAATTTTATTATTTAAACTGTTAACAGTTAATATCTTAAATATATCGTAACATAAAATCTTTTGCGTCTTTTTCGTAACTACACATTCCGGAATGCTTTTTCTGTAAAGAACTATTTCGTAAGTATTCTTACGAAATAATTTGTTTCACAAGTTTTCTTTCGCAATGCTTTATTACGGAATTTTATTTATTTATATTTTCGTATAGCGCGTTACGGAATGTGCATTTTTGCATGTGCAACTTCCGTAATAACAATTCTATTACGGTAGATAAAAATGCGAAATTTTCGCAAGTTTTGTTTTTCGGCGAACAACCCTAATATATATATATTATTTATTTTTAAATATTTGTTTAATTTGCATAGAATTTTTATATAAAATATTTTCAAACATTCTGAGGTAATTTAAGTCTTTTATTAAGTTGTATTTAAAAAATTTTTTATCCATACTTTGTACATCTTTATTATGTTTTTTTTTTTTCTCTAATGTTATCAAACTGAGATTGATATAATTAAACTGAGGTTGAGGTAGTCAAACTGAGGTTGGCTACATTTGAGAAGAGAATAAAATGAGTTTTATTTTTCTTTATTTTAATTTTTGAAACTCTTGAGATTAGAACAAATGAATACAAAAAGTTTTGAGACCAAAAATAATGGTTATAGCATGTTTTTAGTTCACAACAAATAGTTACAATTAATTTTGAGATTAACTAATAATTGCAATAGCAATTGCAGCAAATTTTGAAATGATAGCAAATAATCACAACAAATTCAGTTGTGAATTATTAGAATATATTATATATAAATCCAAAATGGATATCCAAAATGTTTTCCATACATACAGGTTTAGGTACATATTTTTGTAATATATTTTTAAGCTTTTTTACTCATTGCTATTACAAGAAATATACTCAAAAATTAATGAAATTAAAAAAAAAAAAATTAGAAACAACTCAGCTAAAATCAAAATCAAGGAGAATATAAGGGAAAATGTATTCCGGATTTTTTCCGGATATTTTACCAAAACAATTTCCGGATTTTTAAAATACGACCAGGATGATCTATGTAAATAAGCTGAAACGAAACAAACAAAAATACACACATACGCCAAACGTATATAGAAAATTTGTATTTAAAATTAAGGTTTCTATTCCATATTTCACTGGAAAGTACGTTTTGCTTCAAAGGTCATTCAGGGGTTATCTCAAAATATATTAATAACTTATTAATTTGCAGTTAAAGTTGAATTTGCGGTTGTTAAAAATGTTGTAAGTTCTAGTTCTAATATTTTTTAATCAAGTTGTAGAGAATCTTTTTCTCAATAAGATAATTTAAAATTTATTTTAAAAATAGTTGATTTCTTGGGCCCGTAATAGTTTTTTTAATACTTTTTTTAAAAACATAAAATTCTCAAAAATGAAATTTGCTATCAGTGAGCTTGAACATATCCTTGTATAACATTTTTCAAAATTAAGTTTGCTATTTTTAGTAAAAAGTTGACAAAAAAGTACTCTAATTGTTGAAATGGGGCTTATATTATTTAATTATGTTCAAACTGACCAATGAATTTCTATAAAGTTTTTATATAAATTTCAAATTAATTATTATTAAATCTATTCTAATATAAAATATGCCTCAAAAAATAATATATTGAAGCGCAAGTCCTGCTTGCAGGGCCATAGTACATCACAGAAAATTTTCACTTAACAAAGTTGCTTAATCATTTAGCATGCTAGTAGTTACAGACTTGTCCACAACATAAGTGAAACAATTAAAAGTGGTTCAAACATGCAATAATTTGAATCGACTCTGGTATGTTCATCAAATTTTCTGACTATGGCTTTGGTAGAACTTACAATGATGCCATCATACCAATTACAGACTGTTTGCAACACAAAAGTCTATATCATCTGTTCTCTAACAGTGTACTAGAGATTAGTAAAAGCATTTTATCAACATGTGGAGTCATAAGTTGTTTATCAGAGTTGATGGCAGTATTTTGTCATTCAGAGTCACTTTTTCACTCAAGAAATAGTAGCAGAGTATTTTAAAACACTGCAATTCATTTGCAATTTATTGTAAGTTCAACAAAGCAGGTATTAACAAAAACACTTCTTGTTATTTGTGGAAATTTGATGAAATTGGCTTCTCTAGTGATCAAGTGAAGTAAATTATAGTTTTCAGTTGCGGTAGTAAATGACCATGCAAATCGGTTGACAATAATGAAAAAATCAGTTATACATTTAAAAATTGCATCAGTTTTCCAGGCTTGGTCGGGAAGCGGGTGCGATCGCACTCGATAATTGACCACGAAAATTATATTTAGTTGCGAAAAACCAGCCAGATTTCATAGTTGTTTTGAGAACATTTCAAAAACAAACAAAAAAGCGCAATAAGATTAACTGGACCAATGAGAGACTAGCTTTTAACGCGAAAAAACTTTAAGCAAAATAAATTTATTAGAGCAATTATTTTTGAAACGTCGATCTTTTATAATTTTTCTTATAAAATTAAGCGACATTTTTTATATAAAGTAACAACTATAAAGAAACAAATGTTCTTCCATTTATCAGAGTATATATAATTTTTATTTATATACTTATGCCTTATTTCCAGTTGTGGATTGAGGAGGTGGAGTGCGGGTAGTAGGGCTATACCCCCGGGACTCATAATGTTAGGGGAAATAGTCAAGAGGACCATTCTGTATTTTTTTAGTCATTTTTATGCTGTGGCACATAAAAAAGGCCGCCAAAATAATGCAGCCCCCGGCCCTGAAAAGTCCAACAAGATTCAACCAATAAAACTAACGCTAGATGATTTATTTATAAATAAAAAAGTTTTTTCAATAACTGTTTTATGCTTCGTGTAGTTTAAAAAGTTTAACACATTTAAAATAATTCTTCTTAGTAAGATGAACAAATGAAATAATTAAATCATTGAGTTACTCTATAAATTCAATTAGCTAGATAGAAATGAACTAAAAACGTTAAATTACTTTGTGAGGAGGAAGCGGAATTGCTTCACAATAATGCTGATGATGTTTAGTGAGTGGGCTTTATAATTTTAATTAGTATTTAAAACAGAAAAAAGTAACTTTAAGTATAACCAGTTTGTAAGAATGGCTGATGCAAAAATAATTGAAATTAGTAAACCAATTTCTAAGAACTTAAAAACTTTTCTTTCTTGGGGGAAAGAATCAGTTATCGGGTACACTGAGGAAAATGGATTAGTGGTTAAAATTATTTGTATTAACTTTGACGAATATTAATAATTTCATCGAAAACGCAGTTATTATTGAAAGTATTTTACAAAATCAGTTGCACAAATTGCTTTAAAAGATTACATTTGAATAAAATACACATACATAAAATTGCATAGATAAAAATACATTACATACATAAAAATACATTACATACATAAAAAATACATCCCTTATAAATAAAAAATAAGAATATACTAATAAAATCTATAATATATTTACAAAACGTTGACTAGTTAAAAAATAAAAATGTTAAACATTTATTATTGTAAACAAATAATGTTAGTTTAAAACATTTATAGCTTTGTAGATGTGGCTCTAAGAATTAAAATAATAGTTTGTTTGATAGTATATTCTTAAAATAATTTATGCTAGAAATCTCACGAAAACGTAACAAAATTCAAATAATACAATTTTTTAAAATATTTCAACAGAATACTCAGGACATTCGGCTAGTATTTTTTAAAAACTCTAGAAATTTCGGTTAGTATCTTTGGAACCATTAGAATTAGTTGTTCGTAGATTTGGCGGGTTTTTTGTGTTCTCTAATATTCTTCTGCACTAAGATGTTTGAGAACATTCAAGTTTATGTATGTTTCCATGTAAGTCCGTAAACAAAATATTTTAAAATTTATGATAAAATGAAACCTATTATTTTGCGGACAAACAAGGAAACATACATAAACTTAAATGTTCTCAAAACGACTATAAAATCTGGCCGGTTTTTCGCAACTAAATATTATTTCCGTGGTCAGTTATTGAGTGCAATCGCACCCGCTTCCCAACCAAGCCTGGTTTTCCTTATAATCTTTTGAACTCTGATGGTATATAATATGTGCTATAATTTTTTTTTTTTTATGGAAAAGTTTTTAAACGATTTTAAATGTTAAATTTTTAAATTTGAAATTTTATAATTGATGTGAAATGTAGAAATTAAAAATATTAAATAGTTGTAAAATACTATTACAAGAAGTTTAAAAAATAAATAAATATATAATAATAAAATATTTATAATACTAAATATTAAAAAGATTAATAAATGATAAATTACTTTATTTTTAGCTGATACATGTAAATGTTCTAAATCTCCTTGTGTGATGACCGAATATGCAGCGTAAGTATTAAATATACAATCAATTAAAAATCTATTTGAAATTTTTCTGATTAAATAAATATTTTATAAATGAATTTCCATAAAATATTTTAATAAACCATTTCAAAAATACTATCAGTAACTTTAGGTGTAGTTTTAGTTAATTAATCCGAAATATATATATTCCCTAAGGACACAATACATTAAGATAATGTATGTGTTTGTGTGTGTGTGTGTCTGTGTGTGTCTGTATATATATATATATATATATATATATATATATATATATATATATATATATATATATATATATATATATATATATATATATATATATATATATATATATATTTTATATATATTTATATATATATATATATATATATATATATATATATATATATATATATATATATATATATATATATATATATATATATATATATATATATATATATATGTATGTATATATATATATATACATATATATATATATATATATATATATATATATATATATATATATATATATATATATATATATATATATATATATATATATATATACTTATAACTAGATTAATACTTAATACTTGTCTATATTGAAAATTAATAATTATTATAAGTAATAATAATTATAATAATAGCCTTTTATTAGTTGTCTTTTTTTATCACAGGTCTACTCCTGTTCAATCATTTTCAAGTTGCAGTCAAGATGTTTTCAATAAAAGGTCAGATAATGGAGAAATTCCTTGCATACTTGATTATCCATCGAAGGTTTGTTATTATAACAATTTTATAGTAATTGATTAAACATCTAGATTTTGTTTTTATAACATGATGTCATGATTATCTTCTTCATTAGAATCTCATTAACTCATAAAGTCAGATGAGTTTTCAATTCACCTTGAGCTTTCAAATTACTATAAAATTATAAAGTTGTACCTTGGTTGAGTTAGACTATTCACTAACTGTTTTCTCTGTTGTCAGCAAAAAACTTTGCTTAACTAGGACTTTTATGTTGCATCGGTGATTTTTCTGGATATTTTTCTCAACCTTCAGTTTTTCTGGATATCTGAAACGTTTACCATATATACAAATTTAGGTGCATATTTGTGTAATATATTTGTTTTTTAGGCTTTTTCACTCCATACTCATACAAAAATTAAAGAAAGTTTGAAAAAAAATGGACATGACTTAGTCAAAAGCAAAATTAAGAGGAAAATAGGGGGAAATATATTTCAGAGTTTTTCTGGACCCAAACAATTTTCCAGATTTTCAAAATATGACCTGGATGATCTATAATTTATGTGAATATAATAACAAAACTTCCAATACTTCAACAAAAAATTAATAAAATGTCAGTCATAACAAGAGCTTCGTTTAATTTGAATATTCAGTAAATTGGAAATATATACCATTCAGAGTTTGAGTTAACAGTATTCTACTGTACTAATTTGTAGGCTTTTTAGGGAATTTCTGATTAAAATCCTAAAAACATAACTTTAATTTTGAGAGAGTCTCTCAAAATTTGTGAATAACAAGCTACTAATAATATCATGACATATAATGTTATATATTTAATATACAATTTAAAAACATTATTGAATTAATTTTTTTGTATTGTTTACTATTTGAAATTTGTATATTTAGTATATAATGTTATAATTATTTGTAATTCTAATTGTATATTTTTTAGTTATACGGAACTCCAAAATGTCAAAATGGGTTTTTGGAAGAAGGTGAAACTTGTGACTGTGGCACACCAATGGTTTTTCATTTTTTTTTTTTTTTTAAAAAGTTTATTGTGAACATTAATTTTTGGAGTTTTTTAAGTTTTTTAATTTTTTCACCATTAAATACCTTTTTTTTTACAAATTTTAAAAAAATTTTTTGTTTAAAAATTAACTTGTTCCAATACTAAGTTTAAAATTTTTTTGTTTTTCTAATATAATAAACCACAATTAGTTGTACGAGATATATGTGTATATATCTTATGCTGTATACACATGGAATGTCACTGATGACACCATACTGAAATAGGGATAATTGTGGGTTTCAGCATATACATTGAATAAGTATTAATGTTTGGATAATAAAAAAAGAAATCCCAAAAAATAAACTTTTAATATGTACTATATAAATTATAAACAGTGCACATATCAACTGAGAGTTGGGGTTCAGTTGATAAAAAAAGAAAATTTCAAAAAATAAATTTCTTTTAATACAATATACAATTTTTAATGACTTTGATATATTTTGTTTTATATATGTTATTATTTTATTTAAATTAATATTAGTTTTAGGGAAACATATTTTTTTTTAGGAATGTGCTGATTCTGGTGCTATAAAGTGTTGTAATCCAACTACTTGTAAACTTACTGAAAATTCTCAGTGTGCTGTTGGCAGTTGCTGTGATACATCTACATGTAAAGTATGTTTGTTAAATATATAAATAGTTTAAATTTAGCTAATATACATAATATCTTTAAATTACATAATATGTAATTAAAAGAAGTTTTATTATAAAAAGTATGTATATAATATTGTTATATGTATAATATTATACAATGTAATATTATATATGTAACAATATTACATATATACATAAATATTTTCAAAAAAAAAACTTCTCTTTATGGATATAAAAGTAAAATTTTTCATTATTTTTTTATTTTTTAAAAATATATTTTGTTTTTTTATTTGTTAAAGCTATATATTTTTATGATATTTCAAAGAATATCGATACCCTTGTTATCAAGTATATTAAAAAATTTTTATATATAAAAAATTTTAACAAATAGAGTTAAAATCCATAAAAAGAAGTTTTATTTCAAAATATATATACAACTCTTTTGAAGATTTTTATTTGGTGTTTTAAAAGTTACTATTTAAAACATTAAAAAAGAAACAAAGTTAAAATCAGGTTGGCACTACGTATGAGTTGTAAACTATTTTAAATATTTAAAACTATTTTATAAATTATAATTTTTAAAATAATTTTAAATTTTAATCTCTAATTGCTTATTATACATTGGACATTTCTATTATTGGAATGCTATTAAGGCATCACTGTTGTAAAAAAAAAGAAGAAATATTGCTTGATGTCATGACCCAGAAAAATCCTTTGGGGTATGATTGTACTATCATTGGTTATTACTAGGATATAAGTCCCTAAATCTGGTAACACCATCCGTGGAAGAAAATCCATTTTTAAATTTTACATCGCATTAAATACATAGTTCATAAGCAACTAACAAAGTTGGTTTCAAGAATTTTTGTTCATCACAAATACATAACAAAAATATTTATGCAGTAAATTCACGGGAAAATAATAATTTTCTTCTTAATTACTACTTCAATTGTTTTTTCTGATGAAAAACATTTAAACTGATTTGTAATATTTCTAATCAATTTTTTTTGCTGTTGAAGTCTGTGATGCATCTTTGCAACCTGTTTTCATACTCTGGGTGGTTACTTGGTCTCTTGTACCTTTGCCAATGGTTACTGGAAAGATGATGGAGTGCTTTAGTTGTTTGCTCTGAAAAATTCCAAAAGAGCTATTGAATGAATTGTTGAACATGATGGATAACAGCATGAATCTTGGGAGTGATGTCCTGAAGTTGTAATATAGAACAACTTGTAACTTAGAACAACTTGTAACTTAGAACAACTTGATTTAGTGTTGACAACAGCTTTTTCAAACCAGAGTTAGACAGCCCTGTTTTGTGTTTTTTTGTAAGGTAGACTTTGATTAATTGTGTGGGAGATCCTTGCCAACAATTGAAAAGCATTGAGAACATCTTCTTTCAACTGAGTTTTGGTTTGTTTCAGTTTTTTGGGTAGCCAATACTGGATGTGGAGAATTGTTTTTTTGCTTTGCCAACTGAGCAAATCAAATAATCACAAACTGAATCTTTTGTAACAAGATGGACTTTGATAGTGAAGAAATCAAACAATTGTGGTTGGGTTTAAAGCTTTCCCTTCTCAATCCCCCTATGGTTAAAGCAGCAACGCTCACAAATGTGAGTTGGGACTTATGGATCATTTAAGTCAATTGGCTGCTTCAGAATTTGTTGCACTTTTTCTGTCATGAAGCTGGTTAAAAAGAAACTACCCTCACCAAGATGCAAGGAGAAAACAGTTATCCTGTTCTCTTCATGGTTTTTTTGCTTGATTTGGCATATTTTTGTTAATTTAGATGCCAAATCTATGAAAAAAATGGGTTGAAAAAGCTTTTCCCAAAAATTTGATAATCTTAATAAAAAAGCAATTTCGATTTTTTTACAGATAACTCATATATCCAGAGATACAGATAACTCATATATATATTTTAAACTAAAAAAAATGCAACCATTTATTTTCTAGTTAAGACAACTTATTTAACACCGTCTATCATGATTTATGAAGAGAATGAAAGAAAAAGGTATAAAAAATTAGGTATTATTGCTCTAGAGTTAAATATATTGCAGTTTTTTCAATGCAATTTTATGCAAATTTGAAAAAAGATTTTCTTCCACCTGCTGTGTAACCAGATTTATGGACTTATATACGAGTAACCACCAAATGATAGTACAATCATACTCCCAAAGGATTTTTCTGGGTCATGACATCAAGCAATATTTCATTTTTTTTACAATAGTGGCATTTTTATGTTGTAATTGCTAAACAAAAAATATAAATTTAAAATGTTATGTTTTAAAATGTTATGTCTTAGTTTAAAAATCAAGGAACTTTGTGTCGAGATAAATTTAATGATGAGTGTGATTTACCTGAGTATTGCAACGGTACATTCAAAGAGGTTAAAATTATTTATTTAAATTTATTTATAAAAATTATTTTTAATATGAGTCATTAATATTAGTAATATAAATATTTTGTGTTCATAAAAGTAGAATAAAAATTTATAAAATAGAGTTGCAAGCGCTACGGCTACTTTTCATATCTTTGGGAAGCAAAAACCACTACTGCTCACCTGCTACTTTATCAAATTTTAAAACTACTAGCATTAGACCACTTCTAGTCTGCTTTCAAAAATGTTTGCATTTAAGCAAATATGTTTTCTACAACTGAAATTTTCACGTGATCAATTTTTGCAATTTATATATATATATATATATATATATATATATATATATATATATATATATATATATATATATATATATATATATTTTTTTTTTTAACTCATTCAAATTAACTTTTCAAATAATAGAAATTTCTTTTTGTAAGAACTTAATTAATGAAAATTCCTTTTAAAAAGTTTACAAAAAAAAAATTGAGTATTTGTAGAAAGTTCTTGTTATAGTAGAAATTGTATAAAGCAAGTTATCACTTTATCTTGCATTGCTGAGACAAAAATATTAAAAAGAAGTTTTGCTGAAATTGGCTTCAAGAGAAAAATAATAAGTATTATTATACAAAAAAAGAAAAGAAAAAAAAAAGATAGATAAAGCTGGAGCAATAAGATTATTCCCTTAATGAAATATGTAGTTCATCATAATTATGTATTATTTGACTTGATGTTTTAGGTACAGTGTACAGTATTTAGTAAAGATTTTTATTATGGAAGTGAAGGTAAGAAATCTTTACTCAGCCACTCAAAGTCTAAAAAACTTATAGTCAAAACTGTGCAACAGTTAAGTCAAATAAAGCTATAGCGTCATACAATTTACATGTATATTGCCATGCAGAACTCCAGATAACATGCATATTGGCAGTACTTGCATTAACATGCATATTGGCAGTACTTGCCCAAATAGAGTAAAACCTATCATTGAACCTATTGTAAGTTGTAGCGCCCGGACATCAAGTACAGAGGTTATAATGCTCACATTTATTTGTGAACACAATTTTCCAATATCTTTAACATCCCATATGAATGAATACGCAAAGGAAATGTCAAAAGATCATCATGTTTAGAAAATTTTGAAAATTTTCAGAACAATTTATAAGTTCCAAGATTAGATGAAGCTTTTAATGCTAAACTTGTTTTTGATATGAAAATAAAATTATTTTCTTTTAACATAAATGAGTGCTTCTATAGTGCAGCAGGTTAGCATAACAGTTGTTCAAGAGTGGATAAAAGAAAGAAACTTTTTTTAGATGTAGAAAATAAGTATTTAATGCATTAAAGATATGATGGCACGTCCAGTTTTACCAAAAAAGGATGGTAAATGAGACAAAGAAAACAATGTCACTTTTCACTGAATTATTTTTTTTTATTTACAAATTTTTTAATAAATTGCCGTATAATTACCGTAAAATAAAATAGTTTATCCAATCATATTGCACTTTTAAAAAAACAAAAAAAAAGCGATAAAAAAAAAAATCAAATCACAAATAAAAAATAAAAGTTTTGAAAAAAAGATAAGCAAAATTTATTGATTAAAAGTAAGTTTATAGTTACTTTTTATAATGTGTTTTGAGGCGACTATAAATAAATTAGAACTAATTGATTAGAACCCCGTACTAAATATTAGATTAAAATCTTAGATTATATTAGATTATAATTCTAGACTAAATAAGAACCCCATACTAAATATTGGATTATAAATTGGAACCCTATACTAAACTCTAGCTTAAAACCACATACTAACCCCATACTAAAAGTTTAGATTATAAAATAGTTTAGATTATATATATATATCTATATATATACAGAATATATATATATATATATATATATATATATATATATATATATATATATATATATATATATCTATATATATACAGAATATATATATATATATATATATTTTTATATATGTATATATATATATATTATTAATAGGGCTTTCTTTCTCTCTCTCTCTCTCTCTCTCTCTCTCTCTCTCTCTGTATATATATATATATATATATATATATATATATATATATATATATATATATATATATATATATATATATATATATATATATATATATATATATATATATATATATATATATATATATATATATATATATATATATATATATGTATATATATATATATGTATATATATATATGTATATATATATATATACATATATATATATATACATATATATATATATATATATATATATATATATATATATATATATATATATATATATATATATATATATATATATATATATATATATATATATATATATATATATAAATATATATATATTATGGCCTAGCGATATATTGTTGCACAACCTATTTCTATGGCAAATGCGGTTTTCAACGGCCCTAATCCGATTGACTGTGCAAAGTGTATTTTCTGCCAAAGTACCTCTGCAAACAAATTGATTTGCCCCGCTAATTCTAAGCATTTGAATTGTTTGACAGGTTACAAATTACTTGCTAAAATCTTACCACAATTTGTTCAGGCAGATTTGCTACCTCTTGGTTTTTATATTCAGCAATGAGATGACGGCAGTGGCTTTAAAAGTACTTTGATATCAAACAAAGCTAAGTGGCATAAACTCTGTAGGATGTTTTACTATCCCACTGAACTCAATCAAGCAGTTAAACATCTTCGCTCCGCTTCCCTAGCTGGAGAGGATGAATCCTCATTAAATGAAGCCAAAGCACTTAATGTTGAGCATAGTTCATTCAGGCGATTAATGTCCAGTGATATGAGAAAATCAAATTTGGTTTACACACAACCAACAAGTAGAACGATGAAATTGACTGTGTACATGGTATTGTTTTTGCTCAGTTGATTGTCTACATTGAAGAAACAAGGTCAGAGAATGGTATTGCACCCATCTTCAAACTAGCTGATCTAGCTAGACTATATGCTGATCATTTGTCCTAAATAACTGAAAATAAGCAACATACACTAACTCAGCATATAAACAACACACGTTTGAAAGGAAGACTACAAGCCCATTTTTCTAACATGCATCCATAGCAGGGCGGTTGAGATGCTTTCCTTGTTTTTAATTGTGACATTAGTCCAGCACTTCTTAAAGCCTGTCAATATGACTGTGATCGTGATACTGTATGTTTGTCAAAGGCTGCACAGATTATACGTCAAATTATATTTGATACTGCAGAACCTTTTACAGGTACATTTCAGCCAGGGTGTCAGGAAAGGTCAGTATCAAAAAACCTCCTTGAACTTGTTAATATGATACTAGAAGGTCCCAGCATTGACATACAAACCTAGACAAATAGCACTCCTGATGCACTTACTATAAACCAGCTACTTACTTTTAATAGTGTGAAACAAAAGCGATCAGAGAAATCTAGTTTGTTATCAGAGTTGATCAGAGAAATGTTAGTTTGCTTGTGCATGGAACTACTAGACAACGACTTGGTTTCATCTTAGTTCAATTATATCATTTCATCGATTACTTGCACTGGCAACTGAACTAAGAAATGAAGTGTGTAATCAGTATAACATTAATCAAGTTGTGTGTCCTCTGAAACTGATAAAACAACTGTTTACTGTTGCAGCTGTTGGTAATATTGACCACAACCCTTTGCAACAACAGCTCTTGGAGCATTCCATGGGACAGCTATTTTATTAGCTCAGCAACCTGATAATTACAGTACTGGAGTTCCATGCAATGTTATGTTGTTTCTTAACTCGCGTGGTAGTAAGAAAATAAAACCTCTACCAGAATCATACTCAGATGTTACCCCAGTTAGGCTTAAAAATGATCAACCAGCTATACTTGTCAGCAGCGGTCCATTTACAGGTAGTGGTGCTGTGTGGGAACAAGAACTCAATAAAAAACATTTGCGGCTTGAAACTGTTCGACAGGTTCATGATGTCGATGGATCAACTGATAATTTGCAATCAGTGGAATGGCTTTCACGGTCGGCATATCATGCCAATAACATTATCGATCCAGATATAAATTTATCAATAGTTTCATTGTTGCCACTATTTCAGGATTCTTCCAATAGTGTTGCCATGATCCGACACTCAATGGATGTAATAAAAAATTCTATCTATAATCTTCATTCTGAACAGATCCCTGTTATTACGTTCAATCAACCGTCATTGAATGATTGCAGGACCGGAGGTATCTAGGCTTGTTGAAGAATTTCAATAAGGAATGTGTGAGGCCAATGCAGATTGCAGACACCATGATCAACTAGAAAGTATTCAGACAGCTTTCAAAAAAGATGTAAATGCCCTAGGTGATAAACTAGTTGATATGGGCAACCCATTTCAAGCTGACAGATATTGTGGTATTACATAGCAGGCGTGTTGTGAGCTGTACTGCAGCCAATATTATATCAATTCGTGATGTAGGCTAATCTCAGTACAAAGATTTTGTTCAAGATGGCTTTGTTAACAGAACTGCTAGTGTGTATGCACCCCTAAAATGTAACAATTTGTCCCCATTTACAACTCAGCAATCAGCAATTGTGTCTAATATTAGCAAGCGCTTGAAATCCACGCAAAGTGACTGTGACTAATTTTTTAGGTTATACATTGGCTGCCAAACTAGAGATGGGAGTTTGGAAATATTTTTTGAGCAAGAAAATCAGTCATATCCCCCTTCAATCTCTGAGTTTAGGCCTTACGATTTAGAGTACGTAATCTGTACTCTTTGGCCAGAGTATGTGTTGGACCTTAAGTGTCTGTCCCACATTAATGGCAGGAATTTCTAAATGATGATCACAACAAAACAGAGCTTTTTTAATTTTTATTTTGTATGCATATAATGCAGCAAAGACTGGTTACGAGAATATTGCAATACGCACAGTAGATACAAATGTTCTTATCATAGCAATATCTTTTTGGTACAAAATTTTATGCAATCAGCTGTGGTTTGCATTTGGCACTGGAATGTATTTCC